GTGGGTAATTGTCCTGGTGGGTAATTGTCCGGGTGGGTAATTGTCCAGGTGGGTAATTGTCCTGGTGGGTAATTGTCCGGGGGGTAATTGTCCGGGTGGGTAATTGTCCGGTGGGTAATTGTCCGGTGGGTAATTGTCCAGGGGGTAGTTGTCCTAGAATCATCTGGAGAGTATTCCATAAAAATGAAAAACAATTCACTTGGCACCGCAACAACCCAATACTAGACTTGATTTTTTTTATAACATCCGAAGATATACTTTCTTTGGTAACTGAGGCAAGCATACTTACAAAATATAAATCGGATCACTCTCCAGTTCAAATAAATATTCAAATCTCTAAACATACAAGAGGTAAAGGAAATTGGAAATTTAATAATTCTCTACTAAGCGATACCAAATTTGTCAAACTAATTAAAGGCAAGATAAATGAAATTAAATCTCAATATGCAGCCAGTCCTTATAACCCAAATTACGCAAATATATGCCCTACCAAAGACTTACAATTCCAAATTAGTGACCAGTTATTCTTTGAAACCTTATTAGTCCAATTAAGAGGCCCAATAATATCCTACTCTGCCAAAAAAAACGTGATAATATGCGCTTAGAATCAGAACTAGAGAAACAAATTGAAGAAATCGAACATTTAATCAAAGAAGAACCACATAACTATAACAAATTTATTGACAAATTAGTTAATTTGGACCTTGAAAATATAAGAAATGATAAAATGAAAGGTAGTATAGTGAGATCTCGAGCAAGATGGTATGAATATGGTGAAAAAACGTCTAATTACTTCTGCAACCTAGAAAATAGAAACCACATTAACAAACAAATCAATACAACAATTAGAACTAGACAACGGTGAAACAATTACACAGTTAACAGATATTATGGATAGCCAAAAAGATTTTTACCAAAAACTATATAAAAGCAAACATAATACTGAAGATATCGAAAATCTACTAGCGCAGTATATTGAATCCGATGCAGTAAAAAAATTGTCAGATGACGATAAAGAGGCCAGAGAGGGTCTAATCTCATATAAAGAATTACTATCTGCATTAAAAAGAGCAAAAAATAATAAAAGCCCAGGTATGGATGGCTACACTACAGAATTCTACAAATTCTTTTGGATTGATATAGGCCAATTTCTACTCCGTTCCATAAACAATGCATACGAAAACAATAAACTTTCCATCACACAACAACAGGGTATTATAACCTGTATCCCTAAAGCGGGCAAACCTAGAAATAAGTTGAAAAATTTGAGACTCATTTCGCTTCTAAACACCTCTTACAAATTGGCGTCTTCATGTATAGCAGAGCGCATAAAAACTACTCTCGATAACCTGATTCACGAAGACCAAAAAGGTTTTATACCAAACAGATTCATTGGGGAAAACACTAGACTTATATATGACATCATGTACGAAACCGAAAGACAAAATATCCCAGGCCTTTTAATGATCATCGACTTTGAAAAAGCATTTGACACAGTATCCTGGAAGTTCATTAAAAAAGTTTTAGAAGTATTTAACTTCGGTGAATCCATCATGAAGATGCCAACTCCACAATTATCCAAAACGGCCACTTTACACAATTTTTTAAACTAGGCCGAGGATGTAGACAAGGAGACCCCCTTTCACCCTACATTTTTATTCTTTGTGTAGAAATACTAGCAATAGCCATTCGAAACAACCCACACATTAAGGGTATTAAAATAGGAGATACAGAACACAAACTCTCACAATTCGCAGATGACACAACACTCCTCCTAGACGATGACGAAGAAACTATTATAGCAGTCAAAAATACATTCAATTGATTCTATTCAATATCCGGATTAAAAATTAATTATGATAAAACAAATCTAGTATGGATAGGCTCAATGAAAGAATCTGATAGACGTTTCTGTAGAGAAAACGATATCAAATGGATCCAAAATGACAGCTTTACCATTCTAGAACAATGACGAGAATGGAAGAAGAAAATTTCTCGCCAAAAATGGTAAAAATGAAAAACTTATTAAAAATATGGCAATGTCGAAATCTGACCCCGTTAGGGAAAATTTCAGTCATAAAATCACTAGTACTCCCAACTATAACCCATCTGTTGACAGCTCTCCCAGACCCATCCCCTACCATTATCAAAGACATAGAAACCATGTTATTTAACTTTATATGGAATAATCGTAGATACAAAATAAAGAGAACTATTTTTATGCAAAAGTACGAATATGGAGGTTTAAATATGACAAATATAAAATCATATATTAAAAGTTTAAAAATATCATGGCTTCGACGTCTTTTATTTAGTGATAGCAACTGGACAAAATTAATAAAACCAGCCCTTCCAAAATATTTCTATTGCTTAGGAGCTGCAAAGTTGAACTTACACATACACAACCCCTTTTGGAAAAGCGTAATTGATGCGTGGGCCGATTTCAACAACAAGCTAAATCCATCCACGATTGAAGACCTTGTAAATCAGCCGCTTTGGTACAATAGCAATATCAATATAAATTATATTTCACCTTGGCATAAAAAGGGTATTGTCTACCTAGGAGATATATATGACCTACGTGGGAATTTACTGACATGGAATGAGTTGAAACAAAAATATAATATAAAAGATACTTAGATTATGAAAAACTAAAGAATGGATAAATTTAATCAAAGATCACCAACTTAACACGGCCCCGCGTGCAACTCCAGCAGTAACAATGCTAGTTAACAATAAAAAAGGATGCAGAAAATATTACGAAACAATTAGAACCAAGCATACTACAGCAATAAAATCACAGCAAAAGTGGAATATCGAACTCCTTATTCCTCCGGAAAGTTACGAAAATTATTGGAAAAATGCATACAAAAACTTAATAAACGCAACTAGCGATACAAATCTCAGGTACTTTCAATACAAAATACTACATCGAATTCTTACCACAAATAAATTTTTAAAAATAATAGGCGTAACTGATAGTGAACTATGTACTTTTTGCAATGAAGAAACTGAAACGACCTTACATTTAATAGCTACCTGCACCCATGTCAAAACTGTATGGAGGGATGTATGTAATTGGTTTGTAACATGTGGCTACCGACGATTAAATATTTTAGAGGAAAATGACATTATCCTAGGAATTCAATACACCGATACTATAATTAATCAAATAATAATAATTACAAAATATGTAATATATAAATGTAGAACAAACAATAAATTACCAACTTTTGCAATGGTAAAGGCATATACCAAACATATAATGAACATTGAAAAACATATTGCCCTCACGAACCTAAAACCAGAACCCTTCCTAGGTAAATGGTCAGCCTTCCTCAATTCACTACAATAAATTGTATCACTATACCGATCTACTCATATTTGGATTCTCTGCAGACTTGTCTTTTTTGTCGTCATAACAGTATAGTCATATCACCTTTTTGTTATATTTTCCGTCTGCATCATGACTACATCGATGTTCCTACATTGCATGTATTGTTGAATTCTGTACGACTGCAAATACTGTAAACCACTTTTTTACTACATATGTACTGTATATGCTTTGTGAATGTAATCTGGAGACAATAACACTGGTAAAAAAACAACAACAACGGTACAACCAGAACCTAATGTCGTTTCACTTATGTTAGAGCCTGTATTAGGTAAACATTTATGTTACTACATTGTATTTACTGTGAATTGTGCACGACTACCAATATTGTATTGTATAATGTATCTTTACTATATATGCTACTGTATGCTTTGTCGATGTAATCTGGAAATTAAAAAAAATTAAAAAAATTAAAAAAAAATAAACCTGGCGGAGCACATTCAAAGAAGATCTACAAAACCTAGGCGTTTCTTGGAATGAAGTAGCATGAGTTGCAGTCG